GGTGGGTTGTGCGGTCTAAGCCACCCCAAACCCCGCTCTTCAGGGTTGGGGAGTCGGGTCGGAAAATCCCTCGGATTAGTCTATGTGAAGCCAAAAGCGCCCTAAAATGCTGCGCTAATCCCTGGGTACCCTGCACAATCGTTTGAAGAACGCATATCAGGATTGCGGCTAACGTCACACACACACACATTCCTGCAGCCCAACCACAGGTTGCCTTAAATAAGAGCTCTTCCGCCTTGGCAACAGCTTTCGCGCTTCTCGGATGATCGAGAAGGCAATCCTCAGAATAAGGTCTCACCATTCGACAAGCGAATGGGAGATCCAGGTTTCACACCCTTGAAATGAACCAGCTAACTTCAATTTGAGGGCCTGTGTTGAAGAATGACTTTTTCTTGGATTTATTAATGCAGATCAGGGCATGGCTGGCTGGCATTGGTAGGTGTTGTAAGTCAGCAGTCCTTTTTCTGCTATTTGGTTCAGTCTTTGGTCAGGGTCCTTTCCTAAAATAGGCACCGAAGATAGATGTTGGACGCTTCCCTGGTGCATAATGTGATACTGGGCTTGTCAGCCTGTAGAGTGCACGGAGAACAAATCGCTTGGCGAGAGAAGAAAAATCTTAACTCGGCGGCTCAGCGATACCACCTCAGGCCTATAGAAGTGAACCAAAACACATACCAGAAAGAAAGAAATGTCTAGCAAAATATCAAATAAAAGAACAAGAAGCTTCTAGGGGCTCCTGGCCTTACTACTAGGAGCATTCTTACTACTAGTAACAAGAAGCTTCTCTGTCCAGACCTGTAGGTGTCTACATCGATCTTGATCTCGGTGTTTTGGGTCACCATCTTGAGCTTCTCCAGGATCTTCACTGCTACTCGGTCTTGAGCATCCCTAGCAGCACTATGCAGCACTCATGTATCGCATCGGCATCGCAAGCAAAGTTAGCTAAGAACACCTCACCATCCCTGCTGAATTTGAAGTTTGAAAGGTAATCAGGAACTTCACTCACTCACACACACTCTCTCTCTCTCTCTCTCGCACGAGGGGATTCGTTCAGAAAACCTGAACAACATCAAGTGCACCATGCGCAGCTCCTGCCTTTCGCAAGCTCTCAAGAGATTCTTGTAGATATCGAGCCGCTCGACTTTCCAGACCCTAGCCTTTGCGGCAAAAACTGTCTTGAAGAGCGGCAACATCTGACAATCAACTAGGAGCAAGGACGCTTGGGGGCTCCTGGCCTTACTACTAGGAACAAGAATGCTACTAGTAGCAAAGGGCATCGCTACAAACGGAGCAAGGACGCTACTAGGTTCCAAAGCGTCAAGCTGCTCTGTCAGCGGCGTCCAGCGCCTTTTTCCACCTGAGCCATCGCTGTTTCCGAGGCTCCGCTGTTACGACCGTGCTTTCTGCGCCCTTCCCCCACTTGTTGCCACCCACCTGACACCCTTCGGAGCCCTCGCAAACCGGATCCTATAGAAGAAAAAGGGAAGCCGTCCAATCTCAAGTCAGGATTAGTAGGCCCCCCTATTTACCGAACCTTGAAGAATCGCACAAGTTGAATGTAGTATTGTTAGGAGCAAGGACGCTACTAGGGGCTCCTGGCCTTACTACTAGGACTAGGAGCAAGGACGCTACTAGGGGCTCCTGGCCCTACTGCTAGGAGCAAGGACGCTACTAGGGGCTCCTGCCCCTACTACTAGGAGCAAGCTACTAGGGGCTCCTGCCCAAGGACGCTACTAGGGGCTCCTGGCCTTACTACTAGGAGCAAGGAGGCTACTAGGGGCTCCTGGTATTGGTGGTAATTTCGTCCATGGATTAGTAATGTTGGTGTTAAGAACCCCCCAGTGAATCCGAGCCACGCAACCAAGTCAATTTTCAAATTCCAGCTTTCTGGGAGAGGTTTTGATGTTTTTGATCATGCTGCATGCTGCCATGGCCATCGTGCTGCAAATCTCTTTTCCAACTCATCAATGAGGTCTTTGCTGATAGCCTTTCCGCTACTTTTCATCCATTGGCAATGACTATTGTTCTACACGTTGCTTTCCACACTTTTCCAGAAAATGTGTAAGGTTCAGGGTTGATAGACTTCGCTCGCAAAGGGCACCCTCCACCTCTAAAAAATCTAAAGGCTCAGTTTATGCTGTGCCCCTTGGCTTTTTTCCCTCTCAGGTGAGGGTCTCTAGATAGGTGAGGGTCTCTAGATTTTATCTCAGGTCTGCCACCTCCACTTCTTCCAGCCTTTTGTGCTTTGTAGAATGCGCAAGCTAGGAGCAAGGGCGTCGCTGCTACAAGGACGCTAGTTACTAGTAGCTCCTGGCATTACTACTAGGAGCAAGAAGCTACTTACTCGTAGCAAAGGGCATTACTACGAGTAGCATTATTTTAGAAACAGTTTGTAACGAATCGGGTCAGCACATTTGGGGGGGTCCTTTTGGGGGCGTGGGTGGGTACCGACCTGCAACCTAGTACCTAAAACCATGATTCATGATTGTCTCACACTATATGCTAGCTACTAAATCATATTGGACGTGTCAGAGATGACGTCTTTCTCCAGACTTGATAGGTGGTTTTCACTTGTGTTTGGTAAGAAGTGTGCTTTGATTGTTTGCATGCTGCATGCCCATGACCAAAATGCAAAATGTGATAACCCGTCCCGTAACGAATGCAATTGAAAACCTCTTCCCGGCCCCAATCCATGTACAATTACAATAACAGCTGATCGCAAAACAGCGGCTCATGACAAGAATGCCTGGGACAAGAAGCTGACAAAAAAGCTCATGACAAGTTGTTCAGGGGGAGTGGACCCCATGAATGGTACCTCAGGCCCTGTTGACGTTCTATGCGGGGCGATTTCTTAGTCCATAGTAGGCTGGAGTCGGAGGCCATCGCCAGTAGGTTGGAGGCCATCACTATTAGGTTGGAGGATGTTGGAGGCCATTGCTATTAGGTTGGAGGCCATCCGTATACAGTCTGCATTTTATCTTCGACTGGCTCTTCTGCAACGGGTGCTTAGCCTTTCATGGCTTTTCTATGCCTGCTCTCTCCCCTAGTAGCGTCCTTGCTCCTATTCGTACGGCCAGGAGCCAGAAGCCCCTAGTAGCGTCTTTCTATGCCTCTCTCTCCAGCCTTTCCATTGGTTCCAGTTCGTTTCTCTCCGACCAAGATGCTCCCCATGCTTTGCGCATGCCTCGGCGCAGCGTGCGAGAACGTCCTCGTCCGCGTCGGAGGATGTCCGCTTGCCGCGGACCTTCCGCCAATCCTCGAAGACCTCACACCAACGGCGCGGTGTGACAGTGTGCATAATGCGAGGTGACTATCAAGGCGTCCAGCATTCAAGCCATTGTCTTACCGCCGGTTTGAAACCTGGCATGCATCTGCCTACGCACAAAGATGCATGTTGAGACATGTGATATGCCATCGTTGTCATGTAGATTGATGTAATTAATTTTTCACATTGTGCTCGGAGTCATCTTCTTCGTTCTCTCCAAATTTCTCACCTTGTTGTCGCAAATTGTCACCCAATGCTCATCGGATTTGTTGGCTCTGCCTGCCAATGCCTGTGAAACTCCTGTTGACTTTTTTGCAGGATCGCTGTCAGCCAGTAAAAGATGTGAAAAGAAGTGAGTTAGGATCTTGTGCCAGATAGGATGTCAGAACAGCTGCGAGTATGGGTCAACTACTTCAAAGTGGAAGGTCAGCCAGTTGCGTGGCAAGGTGCACTCCAAATGGCTGTTGGTTTGGATCTGTTCTTTTTGTCAGTGAACTGGCAAGTTCAGGGTGTGAGAAATCACAGGGACCCAACCCCATGAACGTGCCAACCATATAACCCTGAACAACCGCACAACAAGTGCAAAAGCAAAAACAAACAAGAAAAAAACATAGAAAAACGCTCACAAAACCAACAAACCAAACAAACAAACAAACAAGGTTTGAACCAGCGGAGGCTTGCCGACAGCGTCAGGTGGTCCCCTGACGATCCTACTGTAGCCAAGTCGCGTCAATAGGTTCTTTGTCTGCCATGGTCGCCACCCGCTGTCGAGAAAGATGAGTTGCCGCCAAGGCAACCACAGACAGGCACCTGAGATGCTCATAGTGTCAGGCGTTTCATGACAAGGCCCCAATCGGATACATCAGTCCAAAGGAAACCAACAAAACAGTGCTGCTCTCACCAAAGAGTGGTTCCGAAGGACTCGCACGTCCAAGGCACAACTGGTCTACACGAGACCGGCCAGGACACGGGTAGAGCTTCAACCAGGGAGTAGGACATTTCGAGTGTCTGGCCGACAAGAAATGATTGGAAATTACAAGCTGTACACACTTTTACGAACTTGCCATGTTAGACTTATATATACAGTAGTATATACAGTATATACGCTGGCTGCTACCAAGCTTGGAAGCTAAGATTGCACATTTAAAAGGTAGTCCATTTTTGTTGTGGAGGGTTTTGACATTCGCCTGCTTGCAATGCATAAGCAAAGGCATACTGCATACTCGAGGTTACCTTTCGTCTAAAGCTTCAATCTGGCCAGGCTGAAAAGTGGAGGAATCCATACGAACTTTCAGCTCACCGATGGATTGAAATATCTTGTTTCACTGGTAAAAACTCCACTCGCGACTCGGCATCTCGCCTCTCCCTGTTTGGTGTGGCTAGTGGCCCGAGGGAACGGCATCCAACGATCATCGCACATGCAACTGCGTTGTCATGCAGAATTAGTGCTCGGTCGGTTCAGTCTTAAAGGCCACATTTTGTGTTGGGGTTCCAGAATTGCTTTCGGCATGCTATTCTTCGGGGCTATGCATGTGGAAGCCTTGGATGTCTATCAACCCAATTGTAATGCTAGCGGATTTGTTTTTGCTCTCTGTGGTTCGTGCTTACCAGGCCGTAGGGCCAACAGAGTGAGAGCTACGGTGCATCTGCAGATGTATTGCAAACACGATGCCGTCGTGCTACTGCACCCTTGTTGCTGTAGCACCGTGAAAAATGGTGAAAATGTCCGACTCTCCTGATCAAGTAGACGAGCTCTGTCGAGACATTCTTCCATCCGGCCTCTCACTGTCTCACTGCATTCATCAAAGAAATAGTTGATGCTTAGCCTTCGCTATGTTGTTGAAGTTGGTCGAACTTCTCCTTAAGCTCTTCCTTGTCCTTACGTCTGTTCTTCTCAAGCTGTGCCTCAAGTGAGCGGCAGAACGCAGAACCGAACAAAATGGCGCCTTTCACGACGAGCGGCCATGAGCTGCTCCATGTGCTGCGTCAAGACCTGATGGCCTGCACTCTGTGCATCACAACCCGCGACAACCCCCCCCGTGCAGCGTTTTTCCCAAAACGAATCGAACAAGAACGTTCAAGAACTCTTTTTCCAATTGCCCAAGTGGCGTTTTTCCAGCTCGTCGTTGGGCAAGGTGGACTCCAACATCTGTCGGAAGCCCTCCACACCTCCACCAAAACATGGCTACGGCTACACCGGCTACGGAATGATCAGGTCCAAAGGTGCTATGTCCGGTCCAAGGGCGTGTTGGCCGGTTCAGGATGACGGCGATGACGGTTGATAGGTTGTATTTGAAATGGAAGGCGTGAAACCATGTGCTATCAGGGTGGAGACCATCGTTCTTAGGTTGGAGGCCATTGCTATTGGGTTGGAGCAAATTGTTCAATAACCTTTCAAGCTCCATGGGTTCCGTTCATCTCCTGGTCCAAGCTCGTCCAAGCCACGCTGGTCCAAGTCTGCAGAGTCGGCTTGCCGGCGCATCTGTTGATCCTGAAGTGCAAGCCCAAAGAAAGGACGCTACTAGGGGCCTTACTACTAGGAGCACGGACGCTACTAGGGATGATGAGTTTCCCCTAGAAACACGGTGCCCTGACTGACAAACCCTCCAAATCTTGAAGGTGTTAACCTTCAGCTTTGACCAGCGATATCTGCTTCTCCCACAATCTTTTGGATCAAAACGAATGCCTCATGATTCAAGGTGTGCTTTTCTGCTACTCAGCTACTCACTAAATGCCATGTAAATGCTCTTCCAGTCCTGATGACTGTCTCTGAGCTGTTTCATGGCATCTTCATGCCACTGCCGCTCCTTTTGGCACACTGAAGCGACATCGAAATTGCTACTAGTAGCTTCTTGATGCTTCTTGCTCCTAGTAGCGATGCCAGGAGCCCCTAGTAGCGTCCTTGCTCCTAGTAAGGCAAGGAACCCCTAGTAGCTTCTTGTTCCTACTAGAAGGGCTCGCTTCTCGCCTTGCCATCTTCCCTGTTCCATCCTGTTCCACTGGTCACCGTCACTTCGCTCGGGCGCGCCTCTTGCAGATCTGCGAGCGCTTGTCGCGCATCACCCAATTGCTTCAGGAAGTCAGTCTCCTCCAGGGCGCTTTGCCACAGTAGACCTTTCTTCCTTTTCATTCTTAGCTTCTCACAGCGATGGCCTCCAACCTAATAGCCATGGCCCACACACTTGACAATGCCTGCCGGAAAACAATATCTTTCCCACACTCCCACTACTGGCGCTTCCAAGCCACCCGTGCCGCGACGCAACTCCTGGAGCGATTTCAAGGCTTCCCGCTGTTCCTCCAGGTCGCTCCGCAGGTCGCGCAGCGAGCTTCGCACATCCTGGAGCCAAAAGGAGGCACGAATAGCGTGCTGATCCGAAAGTCGGAATTTGTTCCGACATCTTCTTACAACCGTCGGACATGGTCTGGGAGCGCCGTCGGTCCTGCAAGGAGTTCAAGGAATCCCGCTGCACCTCCGATGCGTCGCTTCGCAGTTCCCGCAGCGCTGTTCGCAGGTCCTCGAGATTAAACGAAGAGAAGGACATTCGAAACGAGAAAATGGTACACCATGGTGCACCAGAGAAATCCTGAACAGTTGTGAGAGTCCTAGTGCTAGTATGTGCTAGTGAAAAGTGCGGGAACGGGGTTCAACCATGGTCAAACGAAAGTGAAGGAGAGTGAAGTCGTGTGAGTAAAAGTACTTTAGGAGCACTGGATCATACCGAATCACCTATTAGCCTCATCAAGGCTTGTGTGATAGACTGGGAGTGAAGGCAAGAAAGGCATCGGAGCCTGGTGCGCGTAAATTCTAACACAACCGCGGACCCCTAGCTGGCTGATACTGATCTTGCCAACCTTATCCAAGTGCCGATGATGAGCAAGGAGATCCTCGTGACGGCCTGGGTGGACAGGCCGTGCAGTTCCATCCCATCGCATGTGATTCGTGACGGGCGACCGATTCGTTCGGCAACTCCCGTCTGCGCCTTCCACTAGTCGCTTCAGCTGACCCAACTCCGCAACCAGCTCTTTCTCACGTGCAGCTCCGAGGTGCAACTCCTATTCACAGGTCCGACCGACCCTCGCGTGTATGTGAAGCTGTGGGATGGAATAGATGTTTGTGCAGGGGCAAGGAGGCCCCTAGCGGCCTGGCTCCTAATAGCGATGCCCTTTAGTAGCTTCTTGTTCCTAGTAGCGATGCCAGGAGCCCCTAGTAGCGTCCTTGCTGATGTTTGTGAAGTCTGGCAACGCTACACTGGCTCCGCTAGGCATTAGCCCCTTCGACGAAGGTAGATCGGAATCGGAGCCACACAATTTCAATTGGGTCAGTCCTCTCTGAGGGCTTCCAACTTTGCTTCATGGTGCCAGGACTTGTCCTCCGAAAGAGTGCACCAGCCCAAAGAGCAGAACATCTAAAAACAAGAGCCAACATGATGGCTACAGCACTGGCTTCACTGAAATACCCTGGCCGATGCTCTGGCTTTTCAAACCCAGCGGCCCACTTCCTCAAGGGAGTCGCTCAGTCATGCAACTTGCACACATTGCCGCAGAACTAAACAATCGATCCCGATCTGAAACTGAGGAAAAATTGTTCCACAAGGTTCCATTTCATGGAACTGATGGAACCGAGGGAGGAAGCATGGTTTCAAATCAAGAAACGCGATCAGCTGTAAAAGCTGTAAGCTGTCTATGTACATCTGCAGTGCTATGCCTTCTTGTCATCCTCAGTGTCGGCACACGACCACTTTGATTCCGAGGTGTGGTTGGGCCCCGTGGAGTGAAGCCACCACGACGCTCCCGAGGAGAAGGGAGACAGACTTCAGGCAAGATCTGGCGATATTTGGACTCCAATTCCTGACACGTTGGGAGGACGCTACGATCGGGGCTCCTGGCCTTACTACTATGGTAACAAGAAGCTATTAAGAACATAACAAGAAGACTAAGTTAAAAGAGCCACGTTAGGAGCAAGGAGGCTATGAGGTGGAGCAAGTAGGTTGGAGGCCATCGCTACTTGTAACAAGAAGCTACTAGGAGCAAACATCGCTACGAACGAGAATGTGTGGCACGCCTCTCCCTCTCTCTCTCTCTCTCTCTTTCCCTCTCTCACGTTACCGTTTACCTACCTCTCTCTCTCTCTCTCGCTCCCGCTCCCGTTTGCCCTTTTCATCACCCCACCTGCCAACAGGTGGAAAAGTCACTGAGGAATGTAGCGAAGCTGCTGAAGAGATCCTTGGCCGCGAAGTGGACTGCTCTGAGAGCATGCTGACAGCGCTTGAAATATGGGTCGTTTTTCTCCACTACTTACTTAACCTGACAGCGTTTCGCACATGGGTATCTTGTTAGCTGCAGGGTTTGCACGACACCCGACACCATAACAATAAAGCACACGAGAGAAATCTCTGGCAGAGCAAAAGTCCAAAAAAGTCGGACTCAGAAGGGTTGCAAAATGAGCAAATTCGTATGAATCGAACAAATGATTGGATCTGATTGGCTCAGTGCTAGGGCTTCCTCGATCTCATCTATAATAAATGGAATCGTAAAGCGCACTACAATCGCATTGGGGGATGATTTTTCACTTCAATCGCGCGGCTCGGTTGCTCCTCATTTGCTTCTAGGAGCCAGGACGCTACTAGGGGCTCCTGGCCTCCTACTAGTAAC